TTTGAATTATTTCAATAATAACCAAGTTTTTTCTAGTTATACACCTCTTCTCCATAATTCTCAATGAGTACATTTACATTGAAAAAAATTAAACAACCACGTGTAAATACACCTAAATGATAAAAAAGAAACACCATTGTCCTTCATTCATTTTTAAAGTATTTTAGAATATCTCACTGTTCACAACAGTGGTGACTTTGAAAAACATTTGTTGACACATCCTTCACACATCCACATTTATTTGTTTTTCATGAAAACTTCCTCATGGGGGCATATGAGCACAGCCAATACTTATTGAGCAATGACTCTGCCAGGCACTATTCTGTTATTTACATAAATCATTTTATTTCATCCTCTCAACTTTAGGCAGTAGGTATGCTTGCTTCCCCCATTTTAGAGCCAAGGAAACGAAGTGTTTTAGGTAATTTGCCCAACGTCATTCAGCAATATCAGCAGAGCCAAACTTGAACCCAGAGTGTCCCTGCAAAGCCTATACACTCCTAGCCACTTGAAGCATTCTTACGATGTCACATCAGAACTATGGGTGATTTGAAAAGGATTTCTCCTTCGTTGTTCAGTCTTTTTCCTACTTGTCTCTTCTTCCACTTTCCTTTCTGGTTCTTCTTTTCCTTTCTGGCTCTCTAACTCTGACCTTTGAACTTCCTCAGTTGTCTTTTCCAGCAACAGCCAAAACCTGGCCTCATTCCAGCCCCCACTTGGCAAAGATGCAAGTGAGGCAGAGGTTGAGCCTATTGGGAACCCCAAGCAGATGGCCTTTGGCAGGAAACAACAGAACTGCATGGCAGTGTGAGGTCACCTCCACGTCCACCACGAGCTTCCAGACTTAAGTAAGACATCATTCTGTGACCCTTCCCAAGGACTCACTGATCTTCAGGGTTATGTGGGAATGTGTGAGGAACTCTCAGACTCTCTGAGGCAAAAGTTGAATTTAGCTATGCAAACTCAGACAAGGTGAACTGCTAGTCTAGCCTTTCTTTAATATGTATTCGGTTTCATTTGCATGGAAAATTTGGAAAGTTGAGAGGAGTACAACCTATTTCACAAACATTTCTGCAGGGTTACCAGGAACCAAAAAGTTTTGCCAAAAATTTTCGGGGGGGGTGGGGGTAGGGGTGGAATCCTTAAAAACAAAAAAAGTTCTTAGAGTTCCTTCAATAACACATTTAGTTAAATTAGTAGGTGTGTTGAATTTATTAGATTCCACATGCAGGGATTGAGATGGAAGAGGAGCTGGTCTAATTCTGTGTATTTTTTCTGAGCATGTGGATGATCATCTGCCAGTAGCAGTAGGCAGCAGGTACATCGGCTCAGGAGTCAGCCAAACCTGCACTTCCACCTTCAAGCACTGTGACCCTGAGCCAGTTACTTAGCTGCTTCAGACCTCAACGTCTCTGCAAAGACAGAGGGGCATGAACGTGCCCCACACCGGTGAACCTTTGCTGAAAAGATCAAATGACATCATGCCATCGAAAGTGCCGAGCACAGGAACTGACAGAGTAGGCATTCAATAAATGATAGTTTTATTTAATTTTATGTCATTTTAAGGGAGGGGCAGATGTAAAGGCTTGTTATTTAAAAAATAAGGAGACAGAAACCATACATTTGTGGTCTGCAATTTTTCCTTCACTTAAGAAAAGTGTTCACTAAGGCTGTATTTTCCGTTAAAATAGAGCAGAGTCTTTTGCAATACCCCTCCCACCAAAACCTCAACGAGGTTCAGTAGTCAGACACTTGGAAGTTTGGCTGCTCAGTGTAAGGCTGCTCTGCTACATACATATTTACAGCATAAAATGTCATGGAACAAACACAAAATCAAAGTCAGCAGGGAAATGGTGATGATCAGATGTAAATGTTAGGCCCTACAGCCTATTAGAAAAGAAATCATCCATCTATGAAGATGTGAAATACAGGGCTCACGATAAGAAATATCAGTAATTCTGAACTTGTGAAGAAAACATACATGGAAAAAAATTTTATATTTTTCTCTACCTGAAATTATCTGAGATTTCACTTTCAGCATATTTCCAATTTTTTTGTGCAAGATTGGAAGGGGGCAAAAACAGAGTCACCACTGCTCTGCTCCATGTTTCCCTTTGGTTAAATAGCCAATCCATTGAAAAAGGAAAAGAAGCCATTTGGGGAGCTCACTAAGGAAATACAGAAACTGACAGCTGTAATTGCATGGCAATCCAACGATAAATAACTTGCTGCAGACCAGTCTCATAAAGGAATCTAAAGTGGGTAACTCTGATAAAAAAAAATAAATAAATAAAAATAAAAAAAGAATGGCCGAAACCGTTTTTGGCTCAGTGGATAAAGCATCAGCCTGCGGACTGAAAGGTCCCAGGTTCGATTCTGGTCAAGGGCATGTACCTTGATTGTGGGCACATCCCCAGTAGGGGGTGTGCAAGAGGCAGCTGATAGATGATTCTCTCTCATCTATGTTTCTAACTCTCTATCCCTCTCCCTTCCTCTTGGTAAAAAATCAATAAAATATATGTTTTTAAAAGAAAAAGAAAAAAAAATTCTTTGCAGGACATTACTGGGCTGGTAGCTGAACAAGCACCCTGAGCTACCTTGGCCCAGGGGGGCTGAAAGGCATTTTCTTTCTAAAGGATGCAAAGGCTGAGAAGGAGTTCAGGCCTCTGTGACGTCAGATAGCTCAGGTTACAACAAAATCTCCAAAGTCATTCCTAGGACATAACCAAAGCCCTCTTCTGCAGGGGCAGAGCAGTGGCAAGTTTTTTTTTTTTTGTTTTTTTTTGGTTTTGTGTGTGTGTGTGTGTGTGTGTGTGTGTGTGTGTGTTTTGTTTATTTTTTGTGGGTTTTTTTTGTTTTGTTTTGTTTTTTTGCTGCTGACTTCAGCATGAAACAATCTCTGAGACAGTTCAGATCAGCTAGGCTGAATAAGCAAGAAACAAAAGTAAATTTCACCATGGAGTTTCAACCACAGCTAAATGCATTGTCCTGTTTCACCAAAAAGTCCTGCAAATCTCTAAGACCACCCTTCACTCCTACAAGATACTATAGTTGGCCAACTTCCTAGAATTTTCATAGATTTGAAAATGTTAAAGGCAATGGCAGTGAAAGTCCCCACTACTTTTTACCTCAAATACATAAATAATATATCTACATCAAGCACAGAACATTTTCATAAAAACTATCTATCCATGTATTATCTCCGCCCATGTTAAAAAAAATTAAGAATGTTTAGTCAGCATCTTTCCTAATTATTCCAGGCCCACAGTGTCCTGGAACAAAAAGTTAGAGATTTCCAAAAGCTTTTAGTTATAGTACAAACACCTTTTTTAAAGAACAAATCCTTAAAGGTTCTGTGAGGACAGATATAATTTCAACAATGATTTCCTATCTTCAAATTTATGCTTATAAAGAAATACAAATGTTTTTACCTCACATTTAATAACATTTGTTTTGAAAATAAAGTATCCTTTTGTGTTAATTTCAGATTTTCTTCTTCTCTTTTGCTGTCACTACTTATACAGATTTCTTTCTACTGAAATTGAGTTGGGGTAATTTTTTTAAAGACCTCACACAGGCTTCTCAGAGTATCCTTTCTCAAGGCACCCACAGAGAGGAAAACCAAACAGGCTCAGCCAGAGGAAAGCCTTATAGACTAGAGGCAGTTATTCATTTCCTGAGCTAACCCACTTCCTTCTTCAAACAGTTCCTTCTCTTCACCAGTGTGTTTTTTGAAATTAGTATATCGAAGTCTTCTTGCAAAATATAGTCCTAAGCCTAGTGCCTGGAATCTGGACAAATGCCAATGGCCATGTCATTTTTAATATCATCACAGTGATATTAAAATAGGAGCTCAAATGAAGTGTCACTTCGATAGTACAGAAGGCTCCCTAAAATGTTAGTTGATGTTTTAGCAAAAGAATCTGAATCATGAGAAAACCAATGTGAAAAACTGAAAGCTAAAAAATACCATGACTCCTGGCTACTCCATCATAGAAAACTATGGCATATTCCATAATAAGAAAATCATTTCCTCTTTTTTTTAAAAAATTGATTGATTTTAGAGAGAGAGAGAAAGGAAAGGACAAAGAGAAACATCACTTTGTTGTTCCACTCATTTATGCATTCATTGGTTGTTTTGAGTAGAGATTGAACCCAAAACCTTTGCATGTCAAGACAACGCTGAACAAACTGAGCTACCTGGCCAAGGCAGTCATTTCTTTTTTAACCTTTCAAACCTTCAACAATGAGCTGCTAGGTTTCTTCATACTAAGTATAACCTTAGAGATAAAACTGAAAGTTTCATACTCAATAAAGTGATATATCTTATTAGAAAGTTATCTTTTCAGTGATCATTGTCTTCGACTTTAATGAAAGCAGATATAGAAAGTTGAAAGGCAATTTGGCTCTCATGATTCTCCTGTGCTAACAAACACAAAATATAATTTAAAAAGATAAATTCAGTCTTTACCTAAATATAAAAAAAACTCACTTATTTACCGGCACAGTCATACCAGAAAAACAGACAAAAGGAAACAGTCTCTTCAAATGTTTATTTTTGTCAGAATAACTGACAAATTTCTATTGTCTTTTGGTTTATTATTATAATAAGCATTTCTACCCTTGAAAAACCCATTCAAAACATCCTTGAGGTAAAGAAATTTAATTTATAAAACCATCCTGATTTTTTTTAAAGAAATAAATTCTTAAAATTCCTTTAACTTGATAAATAGCAAAAATCTCTTCTTGTTCTATTCTGTTGAACAAAAACTTACTTTATACAGCAAAGAATCCAGTAACTTATTGGCAAACCAAAGGTGAGAACTATTCATTTACATGTTCTACTCAAACACAGTGCAATACTGCCACGTTCCACAATGTTCATATGGACATTAAAAAACAAAAACAAAAAAACAGTTACCAACACTCTTCTGGCAAAGACAAGGTTTTGGAATGGCAAAAGCAACAGAAGTTTTAGCTCTTAAAGCTTCAGAAAGGAATTAATCTGAGTCCTCTTCATCAAGATAATCCTCAGCATTGCTTAATGTTCGAGCAGCATCTAAAAAAAAAAAAAAAAAAAAAAAAATAGAGGGAGAAAGCAAAAACAGAGAAATTAAATATTGCTTGGATTTTGTTTTTATGTTCAAAGCTCCAGACAATTCAACAAACTGTCATCTTCTCTCAGATCCAGGGGTTCTTCTTTCCCCAAGAATCTTTTTCAACTTTTGCTTTTCAGCCTAACTGCTGCCACAGAGGCTGACAAATACACTTGTTTGCATGTTCCTTAGACATGCGGAATTTGAAGCACGTGGTGCTAAGGTACCATTACTCTATCTCATACAAAATGGTTCACAACCCCCACAAAACACACCAGAAGTCCCTCCCCTATGAGGGCAGTGCTTCCAACCTCCCCCAAGGACAAGCACACACTGGATTTCAGTCAGTCAACAACCTGAGGCCTTACCTGAAGGCAAGGTCACTGGGTAGAAAGATAACTAATGAGAGAGAGAAAGGATAGAGAATGAAATTACAGAAGCTTCAGTTTCATTGTAGAAAACATTGATAAAGTATACTCAGAAACAAAAGATTGAAATGAAAAAAGTTTTGAAATAGAAAGAGCTAAACCTCATCAAATTTAAAATCAACCTTGAACAGGGTTCAAAAGGAAGACTGGGACTTGAATGTTCACCTATTCAACTGTCTGGTCAAATTGTTAGGGGCAAAAATAGAATACCGGGGTCTAGCTATAGTTACAAGAAATACTAATCATGCTGCTAACCGCGATTGGCTTGTTCTGATTAAAGAACGGACATTCTAACCTGGTTGGGAGTTGTACGCCCAGGATCCCAGAGTCAACCAGGGAGCTGGCAGTCAACCTAGGACCTAGGAGTCAATCTTGGACTTTGGTCCACTCTCATTCAAGAATTGCCTATTACCATGGAAAGATTAACAATCTTGTTGCCCAAACAATGGAATTGCACCCCAGCCCCCAATGCCTGCTTCCCATGCCTATAATTTTTACTTCCCCATGTAATATTGCCCTAACCAACATAAATAGCTGGCTTATGAGGGTTGCAAAGCAGATTTTTGTGAATGACCTGCTGCTCTCCCATACTGCCAGGATTATTGGAACAAACACTCACATAAGATTCAACCCTGTCTCTAGTAAATTGGCTCAAGTAGTGACAGGCAGCCTGGACCCATTGGTTGTCCGGCTTCAAAATTTCTATAACAGGTTACACTAGGTATATTTAGGAGGGTGGGGGGTGGAGTTGAAATGTACATATAAACACATTGTTTGAGCTCAATAAATATGTTATAGAATCCAGATCATGGTATCTAAATACTATATCCCCACTGCTCATTGGAGATATGACTAATTTCAAGTCTGGGGCAGAAAATGTTAAAAAATAAAATAAAATAAAAAATGCCCCTGAAACCACTTGTCATGCCAGAAAGCAAGGATCCTACCAGAATCAGCATCACTTTAAAATGGTTCAGGATCCAACCTGAAGAGGCCTCCATTAGCCAAAGTTATCCAGAAAGATATTAATTATAAAGGATTAAAACACATCAAATATTTCAGCACACACCACAGGGAATTCATAGGTCCCTTTGGAGACTGATAGGGTTATTATGAAAACTCTTAAATGAAAGGTAAAAATCAAGCCTTTATTCTGTGTGGACGAAAGGGGCCACATGTTAACCGGACAAGCTCAGGGAAGGCCTGAATGGTGGTCTTGCAAACTTATGAGACACACTAGAAAAGGATGGTCTCAAAACTTTTAACTAAAAGCAGTTATGGTGGCTAGTTACATCCTAGGCCGGTATATTCACTGACAAGGCCCACCTTTATCTTAACTGAATCTACCAAGTCTTTTTGCATCTTTAATAACATACCCTTAAAATGTCTGGGTAACTTGTAACTTCCCTTTTTCTGGACCCCTTGGGGCACAACCTAATGTGCCTGGGCTCCAGGACAGATTCCACAAATTCCTTCATTGCTATGGTAATTGTTCTTGCACCCACCTAAGCATGTGTCTATCATTTTACTTTTCATCCAATCCCAGAGGTTTCCCTACATTGCTTTCTCCCACATCCCTAGTCTATCACCAATGGATTTCATGTAACTCACCTACATCCCTTTCCTTTGATTGCAATGCATAAATACAGATGTAACCTGCCATTCTCCGGAGCATTTTCTCAGTTCATTGAGGTTCTACACATATGTCGATAGTTTGGCTCAAATAAACTCACAAAAATTCTTTACAGGTTTCAATGGTTTTTTTACATTAACATCTGCTTCTGCTACATGAACTATTTTTCTGGGTAACCAAATAGCTGATGAGAAATTTTTCTTTATAGAATTTCTCAGCTAGTAACTGAGGCAAAAAAAAAAAAAAGTGACAGAATTAGAATATCACCATTTGCAACAGATTAGTGAAATACTAGATCTAAATAATGATCATCAGTGGATGCTAACATCATAGAAAGAGTGACAACCAGATATTATATGCCTCTGTGGAAGGACATGATTTTCTTTCTGAAATATTCCTTCCTCTCCCCCTATGATAGCTAGACCTAGATCTAATCAAACATCTAGATCTAACATCTTTTTTTTTTTTTTTGGGTGGGGGAAATGTAACATCATTTGACAAAAATGCAGAAGACAGTAGAACGTGACGCACAACACCACAGGACTGCATACTTACAATGTCTACATTGGGAAATTCAAATAAACTAACTCAGTCCCTAACAAATATATTACAAAGCTAAAAACCAGGGGAAGAGAAAATGAAACACTAATTTAAAAAACAAAACTGAGAGTTACCTATCAATTATCTAGTTTGGACCCTGACTTCTACAAAGTGTAAGGAAATAAATAGATAAGTAAGCAAAGGCTAAGTAAGTAGGCATAAGAAAAATGGCAAATTTTGAAAATTACATTTGGTAATATTAAGAACTTTCCCCTAAGAGGAGTTCTGGAGGCCTGGAGAAATGGATTTTGTTCTACCCCACACACAAACTACTAACTTGGTAAAAGCAGCTTTAAGTAAAAGACAAAGAGACAAACAGCAAAGTTCTTTTCCCTTCTACTTTGCTATGCCAATCCTGCATTTTGCAGTAATTGGGATATTCTTTGTCCTTCAGTGGTTATTTCTGCACTTTGTTTTAACCTCGTTTCTCCTTTTAGCAAGAGAAGGATGGCCTGCCATTGTGCAAACTCAGACTGAATGGAACACGAGAAACAGGAATGAGCCAGGCGAATAAATTCTTTTTCCTCCCTTCCTTTCACTGACTGCTCTGAGGCAGTTTCTCTGGAAACTTTTCATATGGACAAATGCTGAGTCATGAGCTGTATCTCTTCATAGCCTATCTTGGTTCATGCCCGGCATGAGAATGTATCACCTAGCAGCACTTCCAACCTCCCCTGCCTCACTTCCATTTTTCTTCAGTCTCAGGGCCCTGGACTTACATGTTCCAAATCAAGCATCAGCATTTCAGACAGACAGACATAAATAACTGGTGGAGGGATAAACACATAACATGGATAAGCATCACAGAGTGATGTTAAGGAAAAGACACACAAAAAAGTACATCTGCTTTATTCCATTTCTATCAAGTTCAAGAACTGGCAAAGCTATCTGTGGTAAGAGAAGTTAGGATACTAACGGAGGACTCTGTGAAATGGAAATGTTTTCCATCTGGATCTGGGCTGTGGCAAATAAGTGTACACACTGTACACTTAGGATTTATGTACTTCACTTAATGTGAATATACCCCAGTTTTTTTATTAGAAAAAAAATTAAAGGGCTCAACCCTCAAATATGACTCTCACCCCACCCTCATATCCTAAAGTTATCCTTCATAATAATTAAAACAAATGAATTATTTTTTTCTTTAAAAAAGAAATCCAAGAAGTGGAAAATGATATCAGAATATACCTTTTCCAGCTTAGAGTTCATGCTGGCAACTAATGACACAGCTCAATATTTAAACTCTCATTCCAACTAGGATCAAAATACAAATTTAAAATTTTTTTAACTGGATTGCTGAGGAAATGAAGCAGAAAAACAAAAAACAAAGAGAAAGGTAACATGAAAATAGAAATATGAAAATTCCATTCTTGGCTCTTCGATTACCTCCCTAACAAATCCATTATCCAATCAGTACATACTTAGGAAGGCATGCTAAGGACATCTGGAGTGAACAGAGAAAAAGAGCGCCCATCATCTAACCCGATTTAATCTGCAAAAACTTCCAAAAAGGGGAGAGACAGAGGAGAGCTGGCGACCTGCCTCTCCCCGATCCAGCTGCTCACGTCAGAGCGTCGGGGTGCAGCTCTCCAGGGGCTGAGCACATTTGGCATTTTCCGTGCCCATTGTGATCAAGCTCACACGATGCACGAGCTTCTGATAACCTTCAGTTCACAAGAAACCTTACTCCTCGGTCAGAACATTCTGAAGACACCCACAGAGCAACAGGAAGTCAATGGCAGAGAAAGGAAATTAGGCCAGAGTCCTACTTCCTAACCCAACCAAGGCAGCAGGAGCAGGAGGTCCACACCAAGTAACAGTCTCTCTCCCCAGCAACAATGCAGCTGGGGAGCCCCACTCAGCCGGTAAATACTTTCTCTCTCACTTACTAGAACCCAGTTCATCTCTGTAGGAGCAATTACTTTAAAGGAAGGCTTGCTCTGCGAGTGAGCACACATGGCTTAAATAATTAGAATCCCAAACTGCTTAAACAGCTGACATTATATATCTGAAGTTAAAAGAAATAAGGATCTGGAACAAACACAAATCTGGAATAAAGGAGAAAAAGGAACAATAGATTCCAGAGGAGGGCTGTGATGGGAATCCCATAACGGGGAAGGAGGATAATTCTGGGAAGCTCCCTTGGTGAGCCAGGAAGAGAACGGGACTGAGATATTTTTGATGGGCTGAAACAGGAAACCAGGCGACTGACTTTATTTTGTTGCTTCTGCTAGGAATGGAATATGTATAGGGCAACCTAAGATTGCCTCTTCTTATAAATAAAAGGATGCCTGAGGGAGAAATAAGTTTTCCCAGGGTTCAAAACCTAATGAGAAATCAATTCAAATGATAAAAACAGAAATCAGTAGTTCATTACACAAACTCTGAAAGTGATAATACCTTCAAGTTAAAATGAAAACAAATGCACTTTAGCCTGTATAATAAAGATTTTTCAAAAGTTATATTGTAGATCTCCACCGAGATTCATCAGTCTAAACTTTAGATTCTAAAGCAGGAAGAATGGGGAACCTTTTTTCTGCCCAGGGCCATTTAGATATTTAAAAATTCATTCATGGGCCATACAAAGTTATTACCTTAAAAATTAACCTGCTATTTGGTCAAACATTCAATTAACTCACCCCAGGGCCAGACCAATGATACATATTTTTTTTAGTTGTTTTTGTTTTGTTTTGTTTTATTTTTTTAAGAGAGGAAGGGAAAAGGAGAGACAGATAGAAACATCAATGCGGAGAGAAAATCATCGATCAGCTTGCCCCACACTGGGGATCGAGCCAGCACCCCAGGCATGTGTCCCGAATGGGACCATGACCTCCTGGTTCATAGGTTGACACTCGACCACTGATCCACATCAGCCAGGCCAAACCAATGATTTTGTGGGCCGTAGTAGGCCTGCAGGCCAGACATTCCCCTGCTCTAAAGCAAAACTAAGAAGGGTTGGAATGATGAGTAGCAATGCTAAAGATTTTGAAAAACCATTATAGGTTCCTTTTAAAAAACAAAAACAAAATAAAACAAAAAAACAGTGAAAAATGTATTAACTATATACTTCAAAGTGGTATTGAAATGCCAAACATAAAGTAGATATGAGAAAAGAGATGAGAAGTTCCCTCTAACCAAATCATCTACCTTTCTTTTCCTACAGCTCTGGGTTTCTCAGGGGCCGTAGGCTAATGATGAATGAAGAGGGGAATCAGAAGAGAAGGATAGGAAGAGGAGTTCAAGGCACACCCTCCAGCATTTCTTTCAGGAATCACATTAGAATGATTCAACAGGGTATGTACTGAGAGGTCAAATAACATCCGGTCTCTGAATGTTAATCAGGAATGACTGCAATGCTGTGTAACACCTTTCTTTAACACCTTTTCAAAACAACCACACAAGCCTTTCATTTTTTTCAAACCTATTCTCCCACATTGATAGCAATTTTTATCTTAAAGAAGGTACACCTAAACTTCATCTTTAAAAACCACCCACCGTACTATATACAAATAAATGCCAAAATGTTTACAAAGTATAAAATATTTTAATATATTTTTATTGATTTCAGACAGGAAGGGAGGGGGAGAAGGAGATAGGTGGAAACATCAAATGAGGAGAGAGAATTATTGATTGCCTGCCTTCTGCACATCCCTCACTGGGGATCGAGCCCACAACCTGGGCATGTGCCCTGACTAGGAAACAAACCCCGATCTCCTAGTTCATAGGTGGACACTCAACCACTGAGCCACACCAGCTGGGCTAAAATAGTTTATTGAGGTCCTCATTTAAAACAGAAACAAAATATAATCATGGAGCTGTTGAATGATTAAGTTAAAAAATATTTAGAGATGTCCACTCATTAAAAAAAAAAAAAATGTTATCTGAAAAGAAGAGATGGAGATCATGGTTCTCTGAAAAGGACTGTAATGGAAAGCAAAGTGATTAGAATTTAATTGTAAGAAACAAAGAGATATACAAAAATTGGTATGTTTAATTTGTCTCTTCAAATTTGTTTGCATGAGGGTACTCTTCTGTGTTAGAGGTTCTGATTTGGACCACGGACAGACAATCTAACTTCAGAATCACCTGAAGAGTTTATCAAGAAATTTTTTTTCCCCCTAATACTAAATTGAGAAATCTTAGTCATGACAGCACCATTGGAAAAGAAGGGTTAAAACCAAATACATACCCAGCTGGCGTGGCTGAGGGGTTGAATATCAACCTATGAACCAAGAGGCCACAGTTCGATTCCGGGTTAGAGTACATGTCCAGGTTGTGGGCTCAATCCCCAGTGTGGGGCATGCAAGAGGCAGCTGATCAAGGATTCTCTCTCATCAATGATGTTTTTATCCCTTTCTCCCTCCCTTCCTCTCTGAAATCAATAAATATATATATATATATATATATATATATATATATATATATATATATTAAAAAAAAAAAAAAAAAAAAAAAAACATGGGGTGGGAACCGGGTGGAGGGGAGGTCTATGGGGAGGGAGTGGGGGGAGAGGAACATCTATAATAATCTGAACAATAAAGATTTATTTAAAAAAAAAAAATACCTGTTCCCTGTTTCTTTTTCAGGAGAGTTGCGCAGGCAGCATTAGTAGCCATATCCAGGGCCAGCTTCTTCTCATTGTTTCTTAAATCTGTTCTAGCACCTTACCCAACACAAGAAACGTAAATTAGATGTTTTTGACACGGTAGCAGCAGCAATACTCTTCCCACCAAAACTGATTACTTTTGGCAAAACTAACTGGAGAACTTTTCTGGTTCAGAAGCAAGTTTTTTCAAAGCAGAAAAACTTTCTCACACCAGTAATAATGTCTTTGGCATCTTTGATCTGGGAGCTTGTTGCTGCACCTGTGATAATTATGCACAATCAAAATATAGCCTTTCCCTTCAAGTCCCAGCAGAATTTGATGTCCTCTGATAAATCCTAAAGCAGTTCGACCCCACTAGTTAATATGCCTCAGCATGATTGTTTGGAGATTAAATTCAATACACCCTTTGCCTCTTCGGTTCACGGTCTTTGGGAAAGATCATGTGGGTTAAGCTTGAGGGGAATTAATATGTTATGCCTATAATTATATTCTCATGTAAATTAGTAAAACAATAATATAATAACTTATTCATAATTCCTATAACCTATCTTCTACATACTTTCTTCCTTGTCTTGTGTTAAAAATTGTATCAGCATTCATGAACACATTCTCATCATTAAAAATTAAAAAAAAATACAGAAGTATGCTGTATTACATTAGTTTTAAGTATACATGATTCAGTATTTATAGATATTGTAAAATGATCACCACAATGTCTAGTTAACATCCTTCACCATTCAACTACAAAAAACTTTTTTTTATGTGATGAGAAGTTTTAAGATCTACTCTCTTAGCAACTTTCAAATATGCAATACAATATTATTATTAACTGTATCACCATGCTGTGTGTTACATCCCCATGACTTATCTTATAACTGGAAGTTTATACCTTTTGACTCCCAAGATTTTTTTAACTTAATTTATAATGGTACTGCTTCCTTAGTAGCACATATACTTATAACTCAACCTATTTAAATGTTTATAAGTATTCCATTTTGTGGATGGGCCAAAATTTATTTAATTCCTCCTCTACTGGGAAACATGTAGCTGTTGTTCCTAATTTTCAAGATCACAATCAATTTCATGAACCTTCTTAAACGTGTGTGTGTGTGTGTGTGTGTGTGTGTGTGTGTTTCTGAAGGATGGTTTCCTAGAAGTGGTGTTGAAATGTAAGACTATGTACATTCTAAATTCTGCTAGCTCCTGTCAGACTGCTTCCGAGGAAGGCTTTAGCAATTGTCACTTTCTGCCACAATGTGTGAGTGTAGCATTCTCTTCACCACTACATCCTCTTCCACAAATCAGAGCCATATATGTAATTTTCCATTTTCCAGTGGCCGATGTTTCCAAAAATAAAATTCGTTTAAATAATATACTTTATTTTACCCAGTATATCTGAAATGGTATCATTCCATCGTGTAACCATTACAAAAATGATTGTGATACTTTACTTTTTTTTTTTTTTTTCATTAAGTCTTCGGAATCTGGAGTTCATTTTACACTTACAGCACATCTCGATTCAGACTAGCCTTTATCTCAGGGGCTCATGTGCACACGTGGCCGCTGGCTCCATAGCTGATAGCACAGCTCTCGGCATGACTTTGGAGGGAGCACAACTAAAGTGGTGTCCAATCTTTTGGACCAAGAGTTTACATCATCAATATACTTTACATCAAAAACATTTCCTCTTCTATAGGCCAGCACTGCTCAAGGAGCCCTGTAATAGTACATCCATGTCACAGGGCCTTGGGGGCTCAAGCATCTTATAGTACAGCCTTCTGCACCAGGGTGTCATGCCTGGTGCACTGTAAGGGTTGATGAGTATTTGTGGGACAAATGGTTGAATGCACGGTCAGTCTACAACTTCACAGTCCCCTACAGAAATGTACAATAAGTTCTTACTAAAATTAACATACATAATTGGAAAGCTTACCACAGTTTTAATTTAAAACTAAAAACACAAATCATCAAAATAATTCCATCTTATCATAACAACTCCGTGATACAGACAGAGTAGAGGTTAAAAATCCCAGTTTTAAAATAAGGAGGCTATTATTTTTCCTACACTTCCTATTCTTCCTACTGGTGTCATTGGATGTAGCCTACTTTTTAGGTTAAGCAAAGACCAGATAAACTTAGCACACTTTACCTTTTGCCAGAAGCAACTCGACAATATCTGCATAACCCTTCCAGGCAGCAGCATGCAAAGCTGTGTCTCCCAACTTGTTCTGTGGCGATAAAAAGAGAAAGCAGCTTAATCCCCTCACCTTTTTCACCCAGCCCTCACAACCCCCATCCCCTCTGACAGCTGTCCGTCAGTTTACTATCTGAGTCTGTTTCTGTTTTGTTTGTTAGTTCATTTTGTTCAGTAGATTCCACGTGAGTGAAATCATATGATTCCCTGGCTGGTGTGGCTCAGTTAGCTGGAGCATCATCCTGTGCACCAAAAGGTTGCTGGTTCAATTCCCGGTCAGGGCATATACTACCTAGGTTGTGGGTTTGATTCCCAGTGGGGCACATATGGGAGGCAACTGGTTGATGTTTCTCTCATATATCTCTCTCTCTTTCTCCCTCTCTCTAAAATCAGTAAAACATATCCTCAGGTGAGGATTTAAAAAAAAAATCATATCGTACTTGTCTTTCTCTGACTTGCTTATTTCACTTAGCATAATGGGGTGGTGAACACACAATACATGTACAGACAATGTATTATAGAATTGTACACCGGAAATCTATGTAATTTTATTAACCAATGTCATCCAAATAAATTCAATTTAAAAAATTAACAAAGAAAGTAACATTTTAAAAATAGAGTATAGACCGAAAACACAAGAATTTAGGCTTACTCAAAATCAGTGATTTTCAACTTTTTTCAACTCATGGTACACATAAACAAATTACTACAATTGTGCAGCACACCCAAAAATATATTTTTTGCCAGGCCAACAAAGAAAAAAAAGGTATAACTTTAGTTTTAAAAAATAATAATAATTAATTTAATTACCTTTTTTTTTACTCCAAAGTGACTTTTTTAAATTAATTAATTTTTAAAACATCTATTTGTTATTCCACTTATTCATGCACCCATTGGTTAATTCTTGTATGTGCCCTGACCAGGATTGAACCTGCAATCTTGGTCTATCAGGATGACACTCTAACCAACTGAGCTACCAGGGTAAAAGTAACTTTTTAATTTTTTAAAATATTTTTATTTATTTCAGAGAGGAAGGGAGTGGAAGAGATAGAAACATCATTGATTGGCTGCCTCCTGCATGCCCTCTACTTGGGATCCAGCCTGCATCCTGAGCATGTGCCCTTGACTGGAATCAATCTCGAGACCCTTCAGTCCACAGGCCAAAGCTCTATCCACTGAGCCAAACCAGCTGGGGCTAAAAGTGACTTTTTAAAAAATCAGGTGCCTATACATATATATAAGGATTTCTGGCACTAAGAATTAACAAACACAAACTTATTATACAACATGACCAGTATATGTCCTATATATATATATTTATGGTTCAAGACAGGGCATTTACACAGGACAGCTACTGTTGTATTATCTGTAGTCCTTTTTTTTTTTTTTTATTTGACAATCTAAAGGTAAAGAGGTTCAGTGCCTCTAACTAAATAGTCATGTATTGCACATTTTAAAAATTCTTGCAGCACAGTGGTTGTAAATTATTGCTCTAAGTAAACCTCAAATGAGAAGAAAGTTATAAAATCATATAAGATTCCAAAGAGGGTAAGGAGACTCAAGAGATGGGAGATGAGTCATGTAGGGAGATGGAATGGGATGAAGGAATAGAAACTGCAGTGACAGAGCCCAAGCGGAAGCGCAGAGGCCTGCAGAGCAAGACACCAGAGAGAAGCCAACAGACTTCCCTCCACAGAAACCTGGCAGGAACTGGGCACTGGAGATGCCTAGAGACACGAGAGCAGGAATGAGGCATGGGGGTGAAAACAAGGGTATGGGGGAAAGTGTTTGCAAGAAAGAAGTAACCCCAGTACCTCAAATCACCTGCCTCTGGAGGATCCAGTACAGATGCCAGAATTACCCTGTCAAGAAATTAACCAGAGCCAAAGCCGGTTTGGCTCAGTGGTAGAGCGTCGGTCTGCAGACTGAAAGGTCCCAGGTTCGATTCCGGTCAAGGGCATGTACCTTGGTTGCGGGCACATCCCCGGTAGGGGGTGTGCAAGAGGCAGCTGGTCGATGTTTCTCTCTCATCGACGTTTCTAGCTCTCTATCTCTCTCCCTTTCTCTCTGTTAAAAATCATAAAATATATTTTTTTTAAAAAGAAATTAACCAGAGTTTCCAAGCTCATAGACACAGGTACAAAAGAAGGTGGCAATAAGGCCAGAAAATACAACCAGGGGCCAGCTGGAAAACCTAAAACCTGAGCAGTAAGACTGCTCTCCCAACTGCCTTTATCCCTTCTGGCCCCAATGTGTACAACCTCACAGGTACCCAGACAGGAGGCTGGAGGTTATTTTTCTGTTGAAGCTGATCAGCCCCACATGCTGGCACATAGGGGCAACCCAGCAAAACCTGTGGAGAAGCCCACCAGACAACAAGCCCCACAAACACACAGGGCTTATAATTACTAATACACTTAAACATGCAGGGACAAAAACACTGGGCGTTTGAGGAAAGTCTGTATTTGAAAAAGAACCAAAACAACAACAACAAAAAATCAAATGAATCTCTGAGGAAAAAGATACAGTACTGTGAATAGCAGAAAATGTTTCCAAAAGCTATAGTTAACATATTTAGTTAACATATATAGTTAAGTAATGAAATAAGAAATAAAGAACGCTATTTAAAATAACAATCAGCAGGCACCGGTATGGCTCAGGGGATAGAGCATCAGCCTGTGGACTGAAAGGTCCGGGGTTTGATTCCGGTCAAGGGCATGTACCTTGGTTGCGGGCACATCCCCAGTAGGGGGTGTGCAAGAGGCAGCTGGTCAATGATTCTCTCTCATCGACGTTTCTAACTCTCTATCCCTCTCTCTTCCTCTCTGTGAAAAATCAATAAGATATATTTTAAAAAATAATAACAATCAGAGTAAAAGAAAGAGCTTGGGTGAGAAACAGAATGTTAAGTTTGCCTCCAAGACTCTTGCTCCTGGCACATACCCACCGTATAATTCCCTCCCTCTGAGTCGTGGTTGAGGCCAGTAAATATAATAAAATATCACTCCCATAAATAGGTGTCTAATCAGTTGATGTTGAGTACATCAAAAGGGAGATTATATTGGGTGCCCTTTCCCGACCCCTCCCCCCCCCCAAAAAAAAACAGGTTTATTGTCAGAGATACAATCTCCCACTAGCCTTGAGAAAGAACACAAACAGTTATGCTGTGAACTGTCCATAGAGATGAGTGGTCTTTGTAGTGGTCCACACTACACCAGTATAAGAAACCCAATTCTCCTGGCAACCTCAAGAGCTTGGAAAAGGATGTGATCTCCCTATGAGAATCCCACTCTAGCCATTACCTACATTCCAACCTCTGAGACCTGAGCACAGAACCCATCTATGTCATGTTCAGCATTTTGATCTACAGAAAATATAAGGTAAATGAGTGTTGTTTTAGACTGCTATATTTGCGGTAATTTATTGCACAGCAATAGAAAAGTTATAAAATAGAGAAGGTAACCAAAATAAAGCATGAAGATAAAAGTGAGAAAAATCTTAGAAAAGCTAAGAAAATTGGAGGTTCAACCTAAGAGGTCTAACATAACCGCTAATGGGCATTCAGAACCAAAGAACAAAGAAAATGGGCAGGAAATGACCATAAAAAGTAAACAAGAAATTAATACAAGATATTTTTCAAGGCTGAAAATACTCACCATCATTATTGGGGAAAGACCCACCCTGAAGCCCATCACTGTGAAATTTTAGAACACCGAAGTTAAAGAAGCCAATTAAGAGAAAAAGTAGATCACACACAAAAGAATGGAAATCAAAATGGCATCAAACCTCACAAAGGCAACCCCAGAGAGTAGAATAACATGGAGGCATGGCTGCAAAATTTGGAAAGAAATCATTTACAACCTATAATTCTGTCAACCAAGTAATCAGAAGCAAGCTCCACTTTCTCAGGATTCCACTTGAAGACATATGATTCATGATATGATTTTTAAGACACTATGATATGACTTTTTTCATGCCCATAAGCTGCACAAAAAGAACAAGGCAGGTGTGTTAAATGACTTTCACGTAAAGAATCTTACCTGTTGGTCCAGTTCAATGTTTGGTTGAGTAAATAGCATTTCTACTATATCTGAAATTCAAGTAGAAAAAATAAGAATTTTTAAAGAATTTTTTTAAAATCTGATAAAACTAGGCATCACACATTTAAAGAAGTGAATTCTTCAGAAGAATCTTCAAAAAATTCCTTACAACAAACTTTTCTAAATTGAAGTATTAAGACTCTAAAAGGTAGAATTACTTCAAGAATATTTTTTTTTCAAATAATTTGGCTTTTGCATTTTCACATGATATCTATTATAGGAATATTTTTACAAATGCTATGATACCTAATATTTATATCACTAATTTGTGTTTATATGCTAAAATAAAATGGGTATCTTTTGGGACACAGCCATAAATTTTCCTTCAGCTATGCTATATAATTTGTTGGGGTTTTTGTTTCTCATTGTTGTTGGGATTATGTTTTTGGGTTGTAGAGAGAGGTGTAAAGAGAGTGATTGTGGCAGAATTTTGGCCAGTTTGAAATACATCTAGAAATTCCATCTGTCGTTATTACTAGGGACTATAACAGAGAAAGTTACCAACTGAGTCACTAACTCGAGCAAATGTTCTTTCTCCTGAATCTAACAGTTTTCATTCATCTTCAAATGTATAAGATCAAAGACTATATCATGGAAAAAGCTAAGCCAGAGGAGTCCATTCTGCCCCTTTCTTCGGTAAGATTAGATATTGGGGTTTGTTTTTAAATGACTGTTGTTTTCCTGTAACTTTGCCAAGTTTAAGGAAAGGAAGCTTCCACTCCTTCAAGTCAGAGAGGTCCATGAAGGAAGGCTGACTGCCATCAATTCAACCTAATTCATTACAAAAAAAGCTTCTAGGATCTGGGCTATTAGCTGATGTTCTAAAGGATTTGAAAAGAATAACCGATTTTTTTTTTCACTTCTGTAAATCCGACCCCCCTGGATGAAGTACATTTTTCAGAAGCACAGACATTTACGGTAATAAAATGCATTACCTTTGTGGCCCCCGTGACAAGCCCAGTACAAGGCAGTGCTGCCAGCTTTGTCTAAGCCATTGACCCCGACGCGGTTGTCCAGACACTCTCTCAACCAGCTCAAGTTGCCTGAAAAAATTTTACATTTATAAAAACACAAGAAAAAGGATTTTGTTTTATTGTTTGGCCTTTAAATCAATTTCAACCTGCAATGGATTAATCAGCAAGTCTGAAAATAAGACCTGCTGAGTAATGCATCTATTATGGTATATTTTGACTTCCAGTTTATTAATGGAAAGTATTAACATCAATTTTTAATAGTAGGTTAATGGGAAGAGTTGCCTAAATGGGTCTGCTTAACGTATTTTACTTTGTAAAAAAAAAAAATAGATATTTTTCCTTTGTGAATTCCTAAAATTTAGGGGAGAAAAGTCAAACCTAAGAACAAGCAGACACTACCTATATTCATATTTAAAATGCACTTTCAGTTCTTACAAGAAAAAAAAAAAAAAACACTACATAACCTACTCTGATTTTCTACTCATATATCAAAGTAAAATTACTGACTTAAAATCCCCTGGCTAATGCCCTAAATATCTAATTTACAAAAAAAAAAAAAAGTTTTAAATGTCAGTTTTGTAGCTCTACTTATGCACAATCTTAAGCCATTAATTTCCTTTTGCATATTCTGATTTCAAAAAGACCTAAAATAGAATAAAAGAATCCTTGCAAACACTCCCCACGCAGGGTTTCTCAATAGTAGACTTATTGACATTTGATGTTGGAGAATTCTATGTTATCGGTGCTGTCCTGTAGCCTATAGTATATTCAGCAGCATCCCCAGCCTCTACCCAAAAGGTGCCACTGGCATTCCCCTAGTCATGACAGTCAAATATCTCCAGATACTGCCACATGTTCTAGAGTCTGGAGGGAGGAATCACCCTCAGTGGAAAACTACTGATCCATAGGATAAAGCCTCCGGTGCAAGGCCCATCCTGTGGCTCCCTCCTCCCTGACTCTACGCTTATCACACACACACCATCAACACTCTCCCAAATGCCGTCTCCCCAAGAAACCCCCACTCTCTTGCCCTCCCGTTAGCTCATTCTGGCCTCTGGAGCCTGTTTAACTCAAACACACTTACATTGCTATACATATCACACCATCTTGTTCTGTCACACACTTCTCTCTCTTTCCAGACTTTAGGCTCTGGGAGTCACAGACCATTCCTTTCCACTTGCCACTGGGCACGGGGTATATAAGGCACTCAAAAGTGTGAGTGACTGCCGAAACCGGTTTGGCTCAGTGGTAGAGCGTCGGTCTGCAGACTGAAAGGTCCCGGGTTTGATTCCGGTCAAGAGCATGTACCTTGGTTGCGGGTACATCCCCAGTAGGGGGTGTACAAGAGGCAACTGGTTGATCTTTCTCTCTCATCGACGTTTCTAGCTCTTTATCTCTCTCCCTTCCTCTCTGTAAAAAATCAATAAAATATATTTTTTTTTTTAAAAGTGTGAGTGACTGACATTTTACAACCGAAATTACACTTATATCTCTAGGATGACAGAAGGCAGAACAGAGACTGCCCCTGGGGGAGGGATTTAACTAGAAAGGGAACTTTCTGGGATGACGGAAATATTCTAAATCTTGGCTCTTGATCTAGGTATTAGTTACATGGCTGTACACACTTGTCAAAAGCCACCAGACTGTATAATTAAAATCTCCGTGTGTCACTGCTCCATATATCTCAATCAAAAAGAGTCACACCTACCTCTTTTTGCAGCTTCATGCAGTGGATTGTCAATGGATTCTGCCTGCTCAGCCACTAGACGGGAAAGATAAAGTATAAACCCAGGGTTGAGCGTGTCACCCAAATGGTTCACTAAAGCCTTCACACACACACACACACACACACACACACACACACACACACACACAGCTCCCACAGGGCCAGGGCCTTCTGCAACCCAGCTTCCCTCACTGAGAGTGTGTGAGGCCGAGTGCGGGGGGGTGAGGGGGAGTAGCAGAAAATCTAAATGATGTTTCTCGCTTTAAAAGACGCTGAATTACATGTTCAATGAAACCAAGCTAAGCAACAACACAATAGCATAGCAATTAACTGGAAGTATAAACAAAACTAGCAGATCCATGGCCTGCATACCAGTTTGTTCAAGTATTTAATAAACAAATTTAGTCACAAAAATACAAAAGAAAGACCCTGATGTTCATTTTTACATTCTGAAAAAAACACCCGCTATGAAGATGGCTGAAAATCATTGTTTCCAGTGTGTGTGTGTGTGTGTGTGTGTGTGTGTGTGTGTGTGTGTATGAGGGGAGGAGGGAGAGTGGGAAATATTTTGCTTCCTGTATGCAGAAAGGAGTACACCCACCTGCCTCCAAGGAAGGTGTGTCCACTGCTATCCTAGCTAGAATCAGCAGGGGTGACAGGACTATCGTTCAAATGAAACTTCAGACACACCCCCTCCCTCCACAAAGGGGTGGAACTGGATACTCCCTTGGCTAACTGGGATCCAAAGCCACATTTTACACTCAGTGTCTACGAACATTTTACAAACCTCGGGAATCGGGTATATTTGGGGATTTTAAACGTTAGAGAAATGGAGAAATGTTTCAAGTCTTTTTACATCCAGGACGGTATCGCCCTAAAACCAGGACAGGTGGTGCCCTGTGCTGGGCCCCATGCCTCAGCTCTCCACCCTCTTTTTTCCCTGCCCCCACTCGGAGTTTTAAAGTGTCTGCCTTGAAATTTTCTAAGTCCCCTTCCAGTGCTTGGGACGGGTGCCTGATACCAGCGCCATTGGTCTAAGGATGCATCCGGTGCTGAAGTCAAAAGGAACCTTACAAGTTATTTAAGAGTCTCATGCTCTACCGACTGAGCTAGCTGGGCACCTGCCTTACAAGTTATTTAAATCGACCCTCTCATCACACAGATAAGGGAACAGTCCTGGAGGTAGCAGCTCAGTGCCTTCAGTAAGGTCCCTGGTTAATAGGGAGTGGAAGGAAAAGTATTAGAACCCTGGACCCTTGTTAATCAATCCTGGGCTCTAGTGACTTGGCTGATTTCTAGGAAACCCTGCTTTCTCCCCCATCCAGCTACGAGTGTGTATGTTCATGGCAGGGGCCACACCTCCCTGCTCCAGTTGCCCAAACCGCCCCCGAGAGGCCTCTGATGAGCATCACTGCCCCAAGAATGGACTAACAAGGCAGGGTGACTTCATCAGAAAAGGAAGAGCTAGTCTAAGAAGCCATCCGTGACATGCAGTGTAACAGAAAAAAAGTTCTAAGAGTTGAATGAAGTAAAGCGTGTTTCCTTGGAAATCCTGGGTCCTTTCAAGAATGCTACAATGCATTTTCTTAAGCCAATGAGTCAAGGCTCAAGTACGTCTATTGACCATGACCACTTTATTAACAGGAGGCTCATGGAGAATAAAATGTCTTAGACCAGTGGTCGGCAAACTCATTAGTCAACAGAGCGGCAAACCACCACGGCTTGCAAGCCGCAGTTTGCCGACCACTGTCCTAGACTGACAATGACTCCATTGATTTCTCAGACAGAGCAACAAGCAGAGAGGCCTCAGGGGCCAGAGAACTGGAAGTGCACAGAGCATGCCAAGTGCAGCCATGGCCATGCTTACCGTAGTTGCTTGGGATTAGTCCAGTCCTGCCTTTGCAGGTGCCTTTCCACCAGCTGGTATCACTCTGGGGAAAGAAGAGTTTTAAGTGATACCAAATCCAGTGAACATTCAATCCCTTTTAACACCATTGGACTCCCATGGAGCGTAACCAGCTCATCAGCCCTGCTTACAGGCAATGCTTCCTCACTTCCTAGGTACAGGTGTACATTCATCTTACCACTAAATTACAAACATTCACACGTCTGTCTGCAGCAAAGTAAAGGCACTTCATCACAGAGCCTCAACAACCAAACAGATCAAACCAAGTTAATATGAATGAAAAGGAAAAAAATTACATTTAGTGTATACAGACTACCTATAGAATATTTTTGTCCACACTAATTTTTATTAGCGTCAAGACTTTTTGTTTGTTTATTTTCTAAAGATCTCTTTATTTCACCTTTATTTTTTAGGTGAAATTTTAATACAGAATAATCCAAACCTATACAAAAGTAGAAAGAACACTAAATGCACCTACACGTACCCATTTTCAACCACATGAATTATTTACTTATGGACAATATTACTTGGTAAACACACCCACCTATAACTTCCCTCCCCTTCAGATTAACATGAAATAAATTCTAGACATCATATTATTTCAATATCTGCAAATATTCTATCTGAAAGATAAGGACTTTCTCAGACATAATTGTAATACATTATCACAGATTCAAGTTTTTCAACAATTCCTTAGTATCATCAAATATCTAAATCAATACTTAAATTTTCTGGTTGTTCTATAACTTGGAATCCAAATAAGAGCCATATGGTAGGATTGATTGATTTGCCTCTTAAGTCTCTTTTATTCTATAGGTTCCCCCTCCATTTGTTTTTTTCACTCCTTCAGTTTACTTGTTGGAAAAAAATCCATTTGTTTTGCAGTTTCCAACAGCCTGGATTGTGCCTGTTGAATTTCTGTGTTAGCAAAGATGTGTACTTCTGTTCCCTGTATTGCCTCTAAATTTTTCATTAGTTTTAGAGGCTTAATTATATTTAGATTCAATTTTTTTTTTTTTTGGCAAGACTATTTCATCTTGATATCTCTCATCGAAAGACACACAATGTCTGGTAACCTCTCCTTTTGGAATATTAGTAACCACTGAAGAGCATTATCTGGATCCATTATTTCATAGGGGTTGCAAAGAGGAAAACATTCTAATTCCATCATTCCCACTTCATTTAAATAACTAGAATACCTCTTTAAAGAGAAACTCTCCCTCATCAACTCCCAGGCTCTCAAGAGATGAAATTCATGAAAAAAGGCAGAATAAATGTTGATTATTTTCCATAACAGATGTCATAATAAAAAGCTGGTTCCCTCACATCCTCTCAGGGTATCTGATAATGTTTATTTTGATATATCATTAGGGATTCATAATTTATGCATAGTAAATGTGTTTCAATCCTTTGGAACCGCTACTCTGATTGCTAAGTTGTCCTGTCTTTGGCTAGTGGCGGCCTCCCCAACACAGTTCCTGTGTCTTTCCAATGTGACCCTAGGTGGTCTTGGTAGCTTCCTTTCATTCTAAAAACAAGGTGTTAGGGGTTATCTTGTACCTTAACTGCCCCAGACCTGGTACTGACATTTCTCAAAAGAGCTTTGATCCTTTTAATGGGAAACCATATAGAATTATTAGTTGGTTATTTTTTTTTCTAGGCCTTTTCAAAGTATAGAGCAAGAGATCATGTCTTGTTTCATCTTAGGTAAAATATGTTCTATTCAAATGCAGAGCTACAGGGTTTTTACTTACCCTCGTTGATCTTACAGCCATATATCCTTTCTTGCAGGCTGAAAATCCCAGTTTTCAACATCACTGACCTAATGACTCATTTGCTACACAATACACATGCAACTCTCTCAGAATAGTGATCCTAACAATCTCCAACAAAATCATGCTTAAAAAGTTTACATATTTTTGGGGGCAGTTCTTTTTGTTCTTCATCCATCTTCTACTAGAGATGTCACTCCAACTGCTGAGTTTTAACATCACTTTGAATAGATCCTTTCTGTATGGTTATTACAATGAAGTTCACTTGATTCAAGCTGCTTTTAATTTTCAGGGATTGCTTTTTACCAATTTAATTGTATGACTATGAAAAAGTTTACATGGTTCCAAAGTGAGATCCAAAATAAAGTATAATTTTTAAAAAGTCTATCTTCCATCTATGTTCCCTTTACTCTTATTTTCCTTCCCCCCCCCCCACACACACAGAAGAAACTATTTTTCAAATTTTATTTTATGACTCCTCCTTCGACTTTTTATTACAAATTGAAGAAAATAGGTTTATGTATATCCTCTCACCTTTTCTTAGATAAGTGATGGCCTGTAATCCACTTTTTTTCATCTTGCTTTTTTCACTTAAATTACTCCACCTTATGGGTATTCCTTATTCTTTATAACTACATCATACTCCAATTCTGCAATGTTTAATCAAGTATCTTCTTGTTTTTCAACATATAGGGTATTTCTAATAAACTGTGCTAAAATGAACAGACTTGAGCATATTTATTTCTACATAGAAACACATTTAAATAATGTTATGGCTTTACAAAACAGTCTTATACATCTTTAATTCATACAGGGGATTACAAAATTTTAGCTGGGCTTACCATGTCAGTAATGTAGATAATATCACCTTCCTCAAAGTATAATTCATCTGGCTAAAAGAAAAAAAAAATATTTTTTAAGTTTGACTCCATGTGATATTTTCATGAATTAGAATATGATTATGAAAATTATATAGATTCCATATAATAAAATATTCAACGTGGTTTTAAATTACATAAATCATTCCACAAATCATTATTAACAAATTGGCACATGTTCTTGAAGCTGAATTTTTCTCATTTGAACTTTAAGAAACTATAACAAATAAAGATTCCCCAAATATAATACACACATCATATTCTTCCACAATGAAAGGAGGGCATTTCATATAAAAACTAGAGGCCTGGTGCACAAAAACTCATACACTTGGGGGGGAGGGGAGGTCCCTCAGCCCAGCCTCCACCCTCTTACAGTCCAGGACCCCTCGAGTAGGGTCTCTGGGCCTGGCCTGAGATCAGGGCCTATCGGGGCTTTCCTTCCCTCAGCTGCAGGCAGCTGGCCCCACCCCCACCTCTACCACTGCTTGCCATCTATCCAGCACTGGTTTTGGCCTGGCCTGTGGGAATCGAGCCAAAACCAGCTCTCCAACATCCCCTAGGGGTCCCAGATTGTAACAAGGTGCAAGCCAGGCTAAGGGACTCCACCAGTACACAAATATATGCACCAGGCCTCTAGTAAAAGGATAAATGTCTAGAATTAAAACCATGACAAATGACTAGAAGCTTGGCTCTTTCCTAAATGATTACTTAATCACTTTCATATTAACATCTGCGAAATGCTTGCTTTGAGAAAACTATTATCCTATCTCTTTATGTTCAGAGAAAATGAACATTTTATATGTGAGAATGGTTAATACAGAATTTAACCATGAAAGAATATGGAGCTGATAGATATGACCATAAGCAGGTAAGGGATTAATTGATTACAGTATGTGCTTTGACCCATACCAGCCAACTGTCTGACATACTCTTTGAACAAATTCAGGCACTTTAATTAATCATCTCCTTTTTCCCATTAATAGATAACACTTAGCAGCATGACTTATGAGTAAATAGGATGATGTCTATTCAGAGGGAGTTTCAGATATTGAGAAATGTTTACATTGTCATGTTGAGTGGAAAATGTAGGGCACAAAATTTCACACAGGATAAGATCACAATAATGTATGAAATAAGTATTTTCCAAATATTATTACTTTTATTACTTTCATAATTTTAGTTGTAAAAATACTTTCTTCATAAGAGGCTTTGAAGTTTTCTATTATAGTTATTCTTCCATACAAATAAAATCTATAGTAGCAAAACAAATTATTTCATCCATTTCTTTTTTTTTAATATATTTATTGATTTTTTACAGGGAGGAAGGGGGAGAGAGAGCTAGAAACGTCGATGAGAGAGAAACATCGACCAGCTGCCTCCTGCACACCCCCTACTGGGGATGTGCCCGCAACCACTGTACATGCCCCTGTCCGGAATCGAACCTGGGACCCTTCAGTCTGCAGACCGACGCTCTACCACTGAGCCAAACCGGTTTTGGCTATTTCGTCCATTTCTTTTTCCATTTGTTTATCTCCTCTCTCAGTCACTGATGAGAGTAGTAAATATGACTTTGCACTAGCAATTTATTTAGTATCAAAGCTGACCTATATCATTGTTATAACTATTTCTTCCAAATATAAATGAAAACTATAACTTCTACATCATGCTTCAAACAACCACAATACATGAATATTTACATGCATTATAAATTCAAATATTAAAATTGTCATTAATGATTAATGATAACAAAAAAATGGCTAAGTTCCTTTAAAAGGCAACTTTCTGAAGCATTTGTTGCATTTACATTTTTATTTACAGAGACTAAACTTACACATAGCACAAGCTATGCAAAATTAATTGAAACTAAGTAGACTTGATGATACCCATTTTAATATTATTTGAAATGGGCATTTAGGAGGACAAAACAAAGCATGCCCTCTAAGATTTTCTCTAACTCTTCTCTAAAATGTTCTGATGATCTATTGTCGATATGACTACCAATGTGTGATGGACATAGAAAGTGACTAGGGAAACAAACTATTTCTTTTGTAACTCCCTCTGGGAGAAGCTAGAAAGGGGACTTGCTTACCATCATAGGTAGCATCTCAGGTAGACACAGTGGCCGCCCCATAACAGTAAGGTAGGCCTTTACTGGCAATACCATTTGACTATCTCTCCTTCAGATGATAATCAGAGATGGGAGAAGAGAATGAAATAGGGTATAAGGAAGTAAGGAAAACAGAATAGATGTGAAAATGTAGCATTTTTCTTGGAGTGACTAAGTGTCCTGGAGTTTTGAAAGAGCTCAATGCCTTGAAGAGATCTTTCTGGTCTTAGAGCCATCCCGGGCCATTCTCATTCTGTACTTCTCTAAGCGCTAACCCTACCCACTCGTGTCTAACAGTGAGTCCTCCTCAATCGGCACTTTCATTGAAATTAAGGAGTCATCTCTACCTACAGTTTTGGTCTGACTTCTAAAAACGTGGAAGCCAAATCTGCCTAAATTTTCTCATTTAATAAGATAACTCACCCTTGGAAGCAAACGGCACATTTTGAAAAAGTATCATACAAATACCTCAACAAAAACAAAGTGTACACACACTCCCCGCATTTAGTCTTTCACACACACACACAAAAGGTATAAAGCCCAGAAGAATGGATAACAAATGCTTAATGGGTATGGGGTTTCTTTTGGAACTAGACAGAGATGATGGCCGACAACACTGTAAATGTACTAAACTTGAAAGTGATTTAAAAATTTTTTTAAGAAGTCAGTCTGGTTCTAAGTGTGATCGGAGTCCAGCAGCACTTCCTTTTTTGGCAGAACTCACTCACTGGTGGTGGTACAGACTGACCTTCGCTTGGGTGCTCAGGGATTCTTTTGTAGTGTGCATTCTTTTTCCTCCATCACCATGTATCCCCTCTAAGCCTTCTTCCATCTAACGCGGTCAATTTTATGTATTGAAAATTATACCTCGATTGTTTAGAAGGCAATAAAAGCCTAGGACAGTTAAAACTCTTAATGTCTTTTAAGTAATTCTTGTCCTGCGTGGTTTGGTCAAGTGGCATCTGGAAAATGTCGCTAAGTACAGTCATTTTGCAACTTCTCAGCTTTCTTTCGGTTTGGTTTTTAAATTAATGGCTGCTATTCAACAGCGGCGTCTACCACAAGCCACATATTAGGGCAGACGTGTTTTTTAACTGAGGCAATAGCAGACGGTCAATTTCAGTCAGGTATAATAAGGTCTCACTATTTTTTTTTTTCATCTTGAGAAAGGAGAGTGGGTGTTTTATTTTCTTTTTAATCACTAGTTCCCAGATACACAATGCTATTTGCTACCCATAAAATATCTTTTCCCAAAGAAACTAGTGGCAGCTTGTCCTGAACACAGCTAAGGAGGTGGTCTACCAAGTTCTTCAGTTGATGGCACCAACCTTCCGGACCTCACGGACCAGCTGTCATCCACGGACCCCCGGTTGGCGACCGCTGGTATAGATGACAAGGTAATTTCATGATTTTAAGACTCAGATATGTTTTACCGGTAATACTCACACTTTCCATTAAGAAACCGCTTACAGGGCACTTAATGTAAATTGTTCGATAAGGATCTACTTTTAAATTCCTGGCATCATATACATGAGACAGAAATGTGAAGCTAGGGACACAGTCAAGGAAGCATTTCTCTATTTCCAGCTTGTTCTTTGGTTTTTAACCACATTCCTCCTCTTTCTCCCCTTGAAGAACCACAAGGTATCAGAATAAGTAAACTGTTGGCCACTGCAACGTTACAGTGATGGGTACAACTTGGGGGTTATATATTCTCATTCCTGTACTATATAATTCCCAAGGTATTAATTGTGTTGACTTATGCAAATATATTTTTTTTATTTTTAAAATTTCAGAAGCTGTGGGATACTTTTGACATTTTTCAGATTTGTCAATGCGGAGCCTCAAAAAAATAATAAAAAGGAAAAAATAAATAAATTGACACATGTATTTTTATTTAACAATTTATGGTATTATTATATCCCAGGGATTGGTCTGAACACTTACAAATATTAATTAATTTAATCCTCACCGGGGACATTATCAGGTGGGAGTTACTCTTATTGCCACATTATAGGTAAGAAACATATCCAAGGCCACAGACCAGGTACACGGTAGACCCCAGACTTGAACCATGACAGTAAAATTCTTGAGTCCCTGCTCTTCGCAACCACCTATGCTTTCTCTCATAGGGAAGGGTCCTGCATAGCCATTATTGGTCGTCATGGTGTTGTGGCCTGGTTAAAAGGCAGTGGCTGCCCTAACCGGTTTGGCTCAGTGAATACAGCATCAGCCTGAGGCTGAAGGGTATCAGGTTCAATTCCGGTCAAGGGCACATGCCCAGGTTGTAGGCTCGATCCCCCGGAGGGGGTGTGCAGGAAGCATCAATCAATGATTCTCTTTCATCATTGATGTTTCTATCTCTCTCTCCCTCCGCCTTCCTCTCTGAAATTATATATATGGCCTTGAAAAATATCTGTTTCCCTTCACCTCCACCTCCGCATAATGCATTACAACAAAACCAACAACAGCATCTTATACTTGCAGAGCATACTTAACCTCATTTCATTCTCACAAAAACCCCTTAGAGCAGGGCTGGCCATGAGCATTATCTCCATTTCACAACCAAGCTTAGAGAGGTTAAGAAACTTGCCACAGGTTACACGGTGTGAGTGGTAGGGCTGGGCTCCTACTTCAGCTTTTGGAATCCCATTCTAGGGCTCCTTCTTGTATATTTAATGCTATAAGCCTAGCAAAGTCCGGCAAACATTACATGATAGAGCAGGGTCCTGCTGGTTTCTCTGTGGAACTCCATATTATACCCCAAGCACACAGGAAATGCTGTTCATTCTCTATCAGCATGGTTTTACACTGGTCTGTCAAGTCCAGCCAGTTTTCAGTATGACACGTTACTGCACTGGAGGTTTGATGAGAAATAGGAACCAAACAGGATTGGGTGGTGCCAGAACTACCTTGCTTTCAAGCAAGACAGGGGAGAAATGGGTGAATAGGGAGAATTGGGAGCCACATGCTGTCCAGTGTTCTACCTGTTCAATGGATCACCAAGAGTGGAGTTGGGCATTGCTGTCCCTATCTCCTCAGGGTTGAACAGCAGCTAAAAACAGGGACCAGGGCTCTCTGGGGTGCTGCATGAGTCAACAATAATCCCATAGAGTCCAGACCAGCTCTTCCATTTTGCCTGGTCCCAATGACTCTAAGGAGACCAGGTCAGTTTAGAATGTACCCACCAGAGCAGATGGCTATTGGTCATGGGAGAGAAAGACCAAACTAAGCTTCCAGCATTGTCCAACAGGAATTCTCATTCAGAAAAATAATGCAAAACTAAGCTAGTTCTTGGGTGATACTCAAAATATGGAACAGCAGGTACAAATACAGGCACTTAACCAGTCAAGAAGGTCCATGGGAGCTAGAGGTTACCTCTAACCACTGGATTGAGGACAGGTGGAAAGGGGCAGAGTGTGGGGGCAGCAGGTGTGGGGTAGTCATTACTGAACAACCGGTACATATAGGATGAATTAGCAACATTGCTCTGCAGCCTAGAATCCTTGAGACCAGGGATATTAAAGAATACAAGAACATTTGAACTACAGAATATTCAAAAACCTAATAAGCAATGCCTACTCTCTCCTATGCATTCAATAATAACAAAGATGAAGAGCAGAGGAGAGACTCCATCTGGAATAGAACCAAAGGTGAATTAAAATAACTAATATAGCATCCAACCAAACATATTAGTTAAAGGTCAGTGAGAAAGGACAAAGGTGATGACGAACAGGATAATAGAAGGAGAGAGGGAAAACAGTGATGTCACCTCAGGTCTCAAGTGAGTAAATGCAGGTTGCTTTCTAGAATGAGGATGACTTCCTCCTTCCCCCCACTCCTATCTACCCCAGGAATCATGCAACGTAAGAGAGAGAGGTCAATGAGATTAGGTTTCCTTTTTTGTTTCTTTCTCCTCTGCGTCCTGTCTGGACTCCCTGCTTCCATTCTTTCCTAGATGGTTATCCACTTCTGGGAGTGATTCTTCTAAAACTTTGCAATCTAATCACCCTTGAGCTCAAATCCTTGAACTGCTTCCCATCCTACTCAGGGCAAAATCCAAACACAACCCGCAATGCCCTAGAGGACCCAGTATCTCTGACCTTTTCACACTTCCTTCTCCCTTATTCACAACTTTCCCAACCCCATTGTCCTCCCTGCTGTTTCTAGAACCCACCAAGCATCCTTTTTGCACCTACTATTCCTTCTGCTCTTTCACTTCCTTCAGGTCCCCACTCAAATGTCAACCTAGGCCCTGGCCAGGTAGCTCAGTTGGTTAGAGCATCATCCCAATACTCCAAGTTTATGGGTTTAATCCCCTGTCAGGATACATACAAGAATCAACCAATGATTGTGTAAATAAGTAGAAAAACAAATCAATGTTTCTCTCTCTCTCAAATCAATAAATTTAAAAAAAAGAAAAACTTAATGTCACCTCTATAGACAGGCCATCCTTAAACACTCTATTGAAAATAACTGTGTTTCCCTTTACCCTCCTTATTTTCCTTCCTAGCACTTAACCAGACCCTGACAGTTAGACTCATCTGTCATGCTCACTATCTGTCTCTCCCCACTGGGACGGGAGCTCCCTGAGACCGTCCTTTCTGTTGTCACGACACTAGCTCCGAGGTCCGCACCAGTCTCTGGCACATATTAGGTGCTCACCAACCCATAGGTGGAGAGATGGATTTCTGGATGTATGCCAGAAACTGTAACAATGAAAACTACATACATCAGAGACAAAAAAAATTTGCTGTGGGCAATTCGCAGAAGGTTCCATTATATGTAGTTTGATATAGCAGGTCAAAGGGAAAATCAGTTAACAAAAGAGTCAGCGGAAGGATGACTAAGACAAGGTGACATGCTTGCCATGCAGGTCACTTGGTGATTTTAAAGCCAGTGGTTTCACCTCATGGAGAGAAGCAGCTCAAGATGGACTATATGACCTTGAGACAGAAAGACACACAGATCATGCAGAGGGGCTTAACGTTCATGCGTCTGAGCTGCAGGGGGAGAGACCGAACACCCATTCCTGTGAATGATTTATGCCTAACCAACAACAGGCAGCCCATTTAGGCCAGAGGAAGTATCCAAATGCAACCAGCTTAGGTTTTTATGCCAATTTTAAAGTTAAAAACTGAATACTTACAGTTCTGGGTTCAAACGTATAAAGAGCTCTGAACACTTTAACTTGCCCTAAAAGAGAGGCGGAAAAACAACATGGTCAATTCTTTCATTTCTATTTTTTTTTCATATTTTATTGATTTTTTTTAACATATTTTATTGATTTTTTTTACCCCCTCCCTCCCTCCCAGCCATCCCCTCCCTCCCCAGAGTTTTATGAACATTGGTTGTACTTATATGCATGTATACAAGTCCTTCGTTTGATCTATTATCTCCCCCAGATCTTCCTCCCCTCCCCACTGTAATTTGACAGTCTGCCTGTTGCTTTACTTTCTCTATCTCTGTCTCTTGGTTCATCAGTTCATAAAGAGCTTTATTGTCCTCATTTCTAAATTATACATTATATTCCTCAGAATTCCCTAATTCAAAGCCTGTGGGAAAAATTCATTTTGGAATTAAGTGCTTTGTCCTCATAGGATGCATTTAAAAAAAAAAAAAAAAAAACATGTGTTAAATGAAAGTATGAATAAGCGCACACCTCTGAAGTGATTTTGCTTTCTCTTGTTAAACAATAGGAGCTACACAATTATATGTACTTACCTTCTGTCCTATATAGTGCCCTTCCTACACTAGGAACTAAGTTTAATACTGGAAAGGTGAGCATTTAACATGAAAATATATTTAACATGACAATAGACAATGGTTTAAAAATAAAGCCCATGGTTTAGAATTTTATTTTGCCCCCCAAAAAAGAAAATACCATTGAGAAAAATAGTAGCTGTTGGAGAAATCTGTGAGTCCATTAAGTCCCAAAACAGAGTACAATAACTAAGCAAAGAAGAGGTCATGCTCATGAAAGCTGTCCTCCATTCTGCCAAAAGACCTCTCTTTATATGCCCCTTTGCTGCATTTCCATTATCCTGTGTCTGAGAAGAACTGATTTGCTGGCCTGTCTCATTTAAAGGCAGAGGAACCCTGACATTTTCCAATTTCTTGGCACCTAACTGTCATATACATACTATGAACTTAATAAATGTTTGCTAAATGAATATGTAAGTAAAAGAACAAATCCACACAGGGTAAGAAAAAAACCTAAAATAGCAACAAAACAAAACAAAAAAAAAAAAGGTCTTTTATGAAATAAATTTAGAAGGGATATCAAAATAGAAGAACTACTGCCAAAACCAGTTTGGCTCAGTGGATAGAGTGTCAGCCTGCGGACTGAAAGGTCCCAGGTTTGATTCTGGTCAGGGGCATGTACCTTCGTTGTGGACACATCCCCAGTGGGGGGTGAGCAAGAGGCAGCTGATCGATGATGATTCTCTCTCATCGATGTTTCTGACTCTCTGTCCCTCTCTCTTCCTCTCTGAGAAAAAATCAATTATATATATATATATATATATATATATATATATATATTTTTTTTTTTTTTTATTTTTTTTTTTTTTAAATAGAAGAACTACCTATTTAAAAAGTGACAACAGTTCGGTGTGAGCACTGGGAGCACCGTTAGAGACGACACCTATGACAGGAGCATCGTGCAGAATGGTGGCCTCCACGGCGGGACACAGGAGGACTACTTCAGAAATTACGCACATGTTTACCTTCTTTTTCAGTCCCAATTTCACATGTCTAATAAGGTGACAGCACAATAGAATACATGTGCAAGTTATAATTACATTTATATTTATTGGGAGAGAGTGCTCAATCTTTCGCTGCTAGCATGGAAGCATTATGAGGACAGGTGTTTTTGTTTTACGGATGAGATGTCCAAATACCTAGCACAGTGCCTGGAACATAGAAGCACTCAATAATTATGTGCTGAACAACTCAAAAATGGATGAATAAAGGAATGGAAATGTGCTCAAAAGCAGTCTGAAAATCAGTCGTTTAGAACAGCACTGTCCTATATAACTACGAAAGGCCTGATACATGAAAGTCGTGCAAGAGTAGGCCCTCCTTCCTCTGGCTGCTGACGCTGGCTTCCCTCTGGCACCTGGGACCTGAGCTTCCCCAAGCTTCTTTCCAGCCGTCAGCAGGCACCGAGGACCCTGGCTTCCCTATGGCTGCCAGCAGGTACCCGGACCTGGGCTTCCCTCACAGCCCCAGCTTCATCAGGAAGGTCGTCTGGAAGGACGTCTGGTCTAATTAGCATGTTACACTTTTATTATACTAGAGGCCCAGTGCACGAAATTCGTGCATGGGTGTGGGGAGTTTCCTCAGCCCAGCCTGCACCCTTTCCAATCTGGGAGCCCTCGAGGGATGTCGGACATCCCTCTCACAATCCAGGACTGCTGGCTCCCAACTGCTCTCCTGCCTGCACTCCTGATTGCCCCTAACCGCTTCTGCCTGCCAGCCTGATCACCACCTAATCACTCCCATGCCAGCATGATTGATGTCTAACTGCTCCTCTGCCAGCCTGTTTGCCCCCAACATCCCTCCTCTGCCAGCTTGGTCACCCCTAACTGCCCTCTCCTGCAGGGTTGATCGCCCCCAACTGCCCTCCCTTGCAGGCCTAGTGCCTCCCAACTGCCCTCCCCTGCTGGCTGTCTTGTGATGGCCATTTTATGTCCACATGAGGGCAGCCATATTTGACCACATGGGGGCAGCCATCTTGTGTGTTAGAGTGATGGTCAATCTGCATATTACTCTTTTAGTAGATATTATAGGATGCAATGATGGAAAAGTCCTATATCTGTGCTTGTCACATATAACTACTGAATGCATGAAAGGTAATGAGAGTGACTGAGGAACTTATTTTTAAACATCATTTAATTCTAATTAAAGTAAATTGCCACACATGGCTAGCAAATTGAACCATGCAGTTTAGAACATCAGAAAATGAGAAATGACAGAATATCCATTCAGAGGGTTCTATGTAAATCAATCTTGACTCACCCATTCAATAGTTATTAAAAAAGAAGGATCTGCAGACCTGGATATAACAAAGAGCCTACAAAACATTCAGTGACATTATGCCAAGTACCATCTCGTTTATGTTGACAACGCACGCACACATGCACACCCCTTAAATGAGAGAACCAATTATGGGGAACCTTCACATTCTACCTTACATGTATTATTTATATTCATTACACATCGCATGCATTACTTTTACAGTCAAATAAAGCTGTAAAGCTACCTTCATGGGGGTTAGGGGGGATATCATTTTCTTCTAATGCCCTAATGATACTATTTATTGATTAATGTTGGGATGTTATTTCTTGTGGATCCCTTTTAATCTACATATTTTAAAAGTTCAGATCCCTGCCACTTAGTGTGCTGCAAGAAAATATTTTTTTGCAATCTGAATTCTAGTGCCACTTCTTTCCTGCTCTACTCAGGGGAGGGTTACAAGCAGAAGAAAAGGTGAATTTTTTTTTTGTTTGGAGTTTACTTTTTTAACCACACCCACAGCCCTGAGAAAGGAACTGCCAAGGGAAGAAGGAGTTGCGAGGAGCAATATTTTCTGCTGACCTGACTGTCTCTCTGAGAAGGAAGACTGGTTATCTTGATTACTTCGAACTTTCCAAAGAGAAGTTACACAAGGAAGCAGTCAAATTCAAAAAGACAGAAAGAACTCTCTGGTTTCTTTGAGGGAATGACAGCAAAGGGTTGTACTGTGGCTAATTTTGAAAACAAGGGTCCATGTCAATTTAATGAGCATAGATAAAATCCAATATAAAGAACCTAAGAAAATGCTTCAAGTGTGACTAATCCATTGATTTTTGTAATTGTATCTCTTGTGATTGTCTTGAACTGTTCACAAAGGAAGTGGGAGATTTATTTGCATTTTTATTTACATTGAACAGGCAACTGTCTTTAGGCCAGAGATTTTCAACATTTTTTCATCTTATGGCACACATAAACAAATTACTAAAATTCTGTGGCACACCAAAAAATATATTTTTGGCCAATCTGACAAAAAAAATTAAAAAATAAAAACTATGATCTTGATTCATTCACACCAGACAGCTATTGTTGTGTTGGCTGTTGTCATTTTTTTATTTGATAATCTAAGGGAAAAGACATCAATGTGCCTAAATGAACAGTCCAAGCATTGCATGCGTTAAAAATTCTTGGAAACCACTGCTTTAGGCTGTTATACAAGGAGCATTCTATGTAATGCTATAGAAATACTACCACATATACAGTCCTATTTGTTGATTAACTAGAGGTCTGGTGCATGGAATTTGTGCACTTGGGGAATCCCTCAGCCTGCCCTGCGCCCTCTCACAGTCTGGGAGCCCTTGGGGTATGCCCGACTGAAGCCAGTAGTTGGACATGTTTTGTGCTGATGTGGAGGCAGGAAAAGCTCCCACCACGGCCACTGCACTGGCTCAGGGCTTCTGGCTGAGCAACACTCCCCCTGTGGGAGCACACTGATCACCAGGGAGCAGCTTCTGCATTGAGCATCCGCCCCCTGATGGTCAGTGCACATCATAGCGAGTGGTTGAGTGGCCTTAGCATATCATTAGCATAGTACACTTTGATTGGTTGAACAGCCAACCTGACACTTAGCATATTAAGCTTTTATTAGATAGATGTTAGGATGTTAGTCTCTTGTGGATCCCTTTAAAGTTCTGGGCCTTAATTTATTCTATTCTCAGATCTGAGTCAAGTGGAAATAAAAGAATGCAAAAGAAATAGCCAGAGGATATGAAAGAATTGCATAAAAACAAAGTTTCATGATTACAGTTTACTAACCTTGGATGAGTCTTTTAAGAGAATAATAATTAAGAAAACTTAATAGCCCTAACCGGTTTGGCTTAGTGGATAGAATGTTGGCCTGCGGATTGAAGGGTCCCAGGTTCAATTTCAGTCAAGGGCATGTGCCTTGGTTGCTGGTACATCCCCAGTAGGCAATGTGCAGGAGGCAGCTGATTTATGTTTCTCTTTCATCAATGTTTCTAACTCTCTATCCCTCTCCCTTCCTCTCTGTAAAAAAAATCAATAAAATATATTTTTTTTAAACTTAATACAGTGATCATTTTTACATCATATTTAATTCAACTGTGACTAATGTTCTATACAGATATAAACAAAGTATTGAAGGGAAGAAATCAGGGTAC